AAGCACTTACCCGACAAGGGTTTAGTAAACGACCCCTTAGTAAAAATTCAAGATGGAGAGAGTAAGGGGCAGTTTACCTAAATGCTTACCCGGTAAGCGCTTACCATTAGGAGTCAACACTATAATTTATTTTACCGGGTAAAAATGTAGTACATCAAAACGTATTTATGCAACAATTTACCTGGTAAGCGCTTACCCGGGTAAGAGTCTTTACCCTCACTTACCGGGTAAGACTCTCCATCATTATCATCGCTCTTACCGAGTTAGATTCTTACCCCTTGCCATGTTCATTCGATGAGGAAAATTGCTCAGTAAGTACTTACCGGGTAAGCGTTTAATAAACGGCCCCTAAATGTATATTGACTGTATAATGACCAACTTGAGATGGAGAGAGTAAATGTATTCATTTGTTTGGCTATTCACTCTTTCCAAAGAATGGAAAGTATAAATTGATGTTTATATCAAATAAATGGTTTTTATGTTTTGGGGGTTACAATTGKCATGAAACTAGCTGAGGGAAATKCCATATGTACCATTTAATCTAGTAGCTGTTCATATATACAATTTAACACTACCTTTGCCTTTGAGATGTTACAAGTGTAACATGATGGAAATATATGATTGATTCCAATGTAGAGTCTTTTCACGATCCTAATCTTACCTTAAGCGCATCCGTTTCTCATGTCAACTCCCTCCCCCACATTTGCATAAGTTTGCCCATTCATGTCTACATGCTTTTATAAACTCTCTTTGTCGTTTATTGCCCCCACCGTGAAAAAACACTTTAAGCGTAAGTGCTTACCGGCTAAAATTCATTTGTGTAATCTGGATTCCATGGTTCTTTAGGATAAGTGTTTTAATAAATGCCCCCTAAGTGTTTTATATTTTCTTTTCATTTGTGAATTTGTAACATCATTTTCGTACGTGATCTGATAATTTTACTTGTTTTAAAGTTTACAGGGTTTGAATAATTTATTTCTTCATTCTCCTACTAATTGATCTGTAGGGAGTGTGTCACTTCCATTGTTTTCTAAGTTCACTATGTAGTTTTTACGTGGATGTTACATATGCATCCCATATTGTAGATGTCTTTTTATCTTTCAACATTTGCTTGTTTAACTAGAGGCTGTTTACTGAATGAGAGCACTGGCTGCATTTTGAAGAGCTTGTGTATTATATTTATGCATCTCGGTGAATGATGTTAAAAGTTATTTAAACTATAAATAGAGCATCAGACATTTAGGCATGGGAACACCCATAATACAAAGGGGACTTATCAGACTTGTGGGTTGAAAGAGTGCAACGAGCAGGTGGTTTCGGGATGTCTCTGTAGAGATTGGGGCTGTTAGAGCTTCTTTTGACCCCAAATTTGTTATGTTTTCAATARTTTTTTGCTCACTGTCTAATTTGTAGACAGAGAATGCCTAACATTGCTTACTGCTGCTAATGACCTACTTTCCTTTCTCCATTTTTTTACTCAACAGTTATGAACTTAAAGTTGCCAAGAAGAAAGGGATAGATTAAGAACTCAGGGGAGGTATGCTAGTCGATACCATATTCAATTTCAAGAGAGGCTGTTGTTAATGATGAAGACCGTGATGGAGGTGATACAACAGTTGGTGATGAAGAACATTATGGAAGTGATGATGTTGTTGGACATCAAGAAGGGTTGCAAGAAAGTCAAATGGTTATTTCTCCACCAGAAATTAATGATGCAAATGAAGATTAGTTTATACCATGACCTTAACATAGATTAGGCATTACTTTAGTATATTTTAGCCCAACTTTTGGTAAATTTTGGCATAACTTTTGGTATTTTTTGGCCCAACCTTTGGTATATTTAGCGCAATTGTTAGTATTTTTGGCGTAACTTTTGTTACATATTTTGGTTCAACTTTTTGTATATATTTTGGTTTAACTTTTGGTAAAATTATGCCCAAATTTTGTATGCGGATTAATATGCTTTGTATACAACTTTTATATGTTTTGTGAAGAATAATGAAAATGGTATATTTGTTTTTTATTTATTTATAAATGTAAGTATTTTTTTCGTTCAAAAAATGTTTAAGGACTTGATCGTTCAAAATATGAGAGTCCATTGGTTTTTTTCGGACTTTTTCCACTAACATAATATATTTAACATATTTTAGAAAGTCCAGGGAGTTATTTAACAGGTTATATAATGTCCAATGACTTATTTAACAGGTTTTAGAATGTCCAATGGTTTATTTGTTCCAAAAAATTGTCCAAGGACTTAATCATTCAAAATAGTAAAGTCCATTGGGTTTTTTTGGACTTTTCCCAAATAATAATATCAAATGTATTATGAGTTAGTGATATTAATATTAATATTAATATTGATAAATCCTTTACACAGGGGTCACAAGAGTGACAAAATAGGTGACGCCCGGTCTTGCTGTTTCTTCCGATTCTGCTGCATGCTTTAGAGAGGGAGGCAGCAGCAGGTTACCATTTCTTGCCATCTTCCAAAACAGTGAAAGGTCCTTCCAACTTTTCAGTACAGGGCAGATTTCCAAAAGCCATAGGAGGTTTTGGGTTCAAGCAGGTGACCGTTGGATCATCTTCAAACTAGACCTCCATATTGCCATTGATCGTTAGATGATTTTTTTTTCCTTTAAAAACAGGGATATCATTAGCAAGAACCAACAAAACACACATTGAACCATCTTCAAGGGTGTGAGCTTATGACCTCCTTTTGGCCTTTAATGGCGTTTTCATAGTTTTTTCAGAAGGGAGTTGATCCACTTCACCATTGAACCAAGAGGGATAGCAGCGGCAACACTTGCTACGCACCACACAGCATATCAACACTCTGTCGGAAGAAGAAAACTGTGAGGAAGAAAGCAAGGTTTGAATCGACTTTTTTTTTATTAACCTGGATATCCATCCATCTCATCCCAGGCGACCACCTGGTACTTTTGATCTTTGTAGCCAAACTCAAACTAATCAGACACCAACATTTTAATCGACTATTTTGGGTTTGTGTTTTATAAGATTTTTGATAAAATGGTTATAGCTTGTGTTTAAAAAAATGTACTTATGTAATAGAGGAAATATGATTTGAAAATCCTAAAAAGGTGATACAGTCAATTGCTCTTCAAATCCTTCCACTTCAAGAGAAGCTTCAAGGGTGAGGAGATGGTGAAAATCGAACTTGACTTGTTGTTAGATACGCAGGTTGAAGAGCTGAAAGGAAGACAGAAGAATTTGACTGATGGAAACCCTAGTAAGTGATTTTTCTTACAAAGTTTGATTTACAAAAACACACACAACAAATAGATACAAGAACACACATTACCTTTTGGAAAACCCCCAAAGGGCTTGTAAAAGGAAAAACACACATCTCTTGTGTCTTCAATCCTTTGGGAGAATTTCTTCCACCATCTCTTAAAAACACAAAATAAAACCCCATATTAACCCTATATTTTTCTGCCTTTTTCACTTCCCTTACAAAACAAAGCTGTAATCATTCTCAACCTCATTCCTCCTGATTTCCTCCCATTGTGAGATAGCAGAAATGGCCTTGTCCATCTTCCGTGAAAGAATAAATTCCATCAAAGCAATACTGGATGACATGGRGACGCAAATGGTGGAGGAGGAGAATACCATTAGGACTAAGGATCAGACCATGGCAGAACTTGCTCTTCTAATCCCTCCACTCAAAGAGAATCTGCAAGAGGCCGTCAAATGAAACCAAAAGGTTGTTGCATGCCAGGGAGATGGAGATTGAAGAAATTGACTGATAGTAAGTGATTTTTCTAACAATCTTGATTGTGTTTAT